AGTACAAATGTACCCGTAGACCTACATGTACATGTACATGATTTTAGTGGACCTACGGTACATGATTGTATCGATGAACAAGCAACACGACACGACAGACCTAATAAACCGGAGACCATAGCCTGATGCCAAACGTAAGCCACCCTACTCCCTAGGGGCTATAATACTCTTGCTGATACGTAAGACTGGTTGATGGATCCACCCAAAGCCAAGGCACAGGATCTAGGACCCTGTCCACACACAGATAAGACGAACGTCGATTATCAGGAACAAACTAAACCGGAGCAGTAGCCAGTAGTGCCACATGAAACGCAAGTGTTGTTGTTGTTGTTGTTGTTGTTGTTGTTGTTGTTGTTGTTGTTGTTACTTTATTTTACTTCACCAGAATACAGGCGGTAGAATGCCTTCTCACTAGACCAGGTCTAGTTCTCACAGTGTACCACGCCGCGGTGTGCCCTCACAGTAAGCAAGTAAGTTGCCTGACTGATCAAGCCAAGACTGACTCCAGGGTAGGCCTTGGCGGATAATGCTCGAAAAGGTGGCAGATTCTGCTTTTTTTGCACCGAAATTGGCAGAACCATACAAACCTTATGGTGGGCAATTCCTCGAATTCTGCTCCATTTCTTTATCCACATACCAAACATGCATGAAACTTACCAGAAAAAGTACCGAATTCTGCCAATTTTTCTGCCGGCATTATCCGCCAAGCCCTACTCCAGGGCGAGAGAAGGCCGACAGCACAATACCGGTACTCAGTCTCAATGCTATCTTTCTCTTTCTCTCAGGCCAGGGTGTTAGAGTTTCAAAAGAAAGTGAAGACTCAAAGACAAAGAGCGTTCAGAATCAGATGGCAACATACTGACTCTGTGTAGGTGATTGCTACCGACAGCCGCTGGCCGGGCCGGCGCACCCAGCTGCGGTCACCGTAGATCTACGGACAAATCTTTGCGGCCACGCGCGGAGGCACGCGAGGCTTCGAAGACGAAACCATGGCATGACTGTCATGTAGATGCGCTCAAACAGTCAAAGCGAAGCACTTGAAGCAAGTACAAGCTAAGAGTTATAACACACACTCAGATTCTTCGCCTCGCCAAGTAGAGTGGAAGCCTTCCAACTCTGGACTCGATTGCCTAGATTTCACTTTGCAGCCCTTGATTCGAGGCTTGACCATTGTTGACGGCTCTTGATCTTGAGAGGCTGCACGAGTCGCAATGCGATCCAGACGATGCGGATAGGGAACACACAGACAGTGTAGTACTCAATAGACCGATCCCCTTATTATACTGGGTTCGAGCACGGGGGCAACCTCACTCGCGATCGAGCTAGTTTTTGAACGTGACAGCATCTTTGACAGTGTGTTTCAGGTTTGTTTTGGAATGTCTTCTGCTTAGTTCAAGTAGTTTGCGATGGCTTCGAGCGGTGCTAAACCTCCTGCTGGTAGGAGCAGGATCTCCGAGAGAGACATGGACTGTGATGCCGCTGCAGGATTTTTTCAAGGCGCGGGAGGGAACGATCTCGGGCCACAAACAGGAGTTACTCCAGAGGTGAGTTTTTTTGTTGTTGAAATATTCGAATCGCGAATCGTGTTGTGAGATTTATTTTGTGCCTAGGCTACAGCAGACCATATTTCTTTCTCCTTGAGATCGGTGCTGAAGATAATAGTAACCCTTTTCTGGTCTGTCTTTTCCTCTCCAGAGCCATCTTCTATGAAGGTAACCGTGGTGCTGCCAAGTCACCAAGTCGCGATCAGCAGCCCTGAAGTGGAAAAATCGATTTTCCAACGATCTGGTTGGACATCAGCCACTAAAGTACTTCTGATTTGCCTGTAGTGACAACAGCAGCCATCCTTGGACACCTTGCAAAGACAGGAAAAGCCACTGGTGGAAGCGACTGCTATGAGGTGACGATAGCAGTGCAGTGGTGATCGCTGTTTTGTCAAGTCGAAGGGCTAGCCAACCCAGAGGAAGCATGAAAAAACCGATGAGCAGTGCGTGTTATTTGTTGAGCGTGAAGAGCTAGAGGAGGACAGTGCAAACACATGGACGGAGTGGATGGTGTTTGAAGAACAGTGTGCTGTGTGCCGGCTGGTGGTGATGGTGGTCTTTGTCAGCATGTATTCGTGCTGCTTCTTGTGCTGGAACACTTCTCGCCCAGGAAGGCAGATTGCGTGCTCCCTGGCCCTCAGTTGGCTATGGGGCATTTGTTCCAGGAACATTACCCCAGAGCCAATGATGAGTCGTACCTTTGAAAAGTCGAAGCTTGCTGTTAATCGCAAGCGTAGGGCAGTGGATTGCTCCCTCTTCGAAGCACGAGGGCCAAAGCTTGCCGCTGTCTGCAGCAAAGTGTGTGTGCGGTTCTTTCGAACCTATGAATATACCCCCTGCACGTTCAGAGTGAACTATTTTCTAGTATATTTAACATCCTCAACCCGCCACCACCATGCGCTCTTGGCCGAACCAATGCACGAAGCATAAACACACCAGCACAGCAAGGACACTTCCGTTGACAGATATTGTTTACGCCTCTAGACCGCTGTTTCTTTTCTTCGAGCTCATCATTAGAGGAGGATAGTAGCAGGATACTAATGATGATATAATAGAAGATGATAGACGGTTTATGGTCCGATATTGATGATTAAAGATCTAAGAAAGCAATGACAGTGATTGCGAAATGCATAATATTATCATGATTATATGCCAGTCTGGTAATGCGTTGTACTAGTGGACAGTATTGAAATCATCACTGCATTCGATGCAAATATTGGTATACCTTTGGTTTCAGTATTGGAAAAAAAGAGTAAGAGAACCTGGTTGATTTGGTTGCATCTGCGACTGGCTACCGGGTGTTGTGATCAGCAATGTTACCATGGGAGAAAATAAGAGCGCAAGGATCTGTTGGGTCTTTTTGTGCCGGTGCGAGAACCCTAAGTGCATGGCAAAATAGAACTGTTTCATCCACAATGCAGAATGTCTTGCGGTACATGGCATTGATGACTGAACATCTCGCCAGCTCGCCCAAATGGGGATCATGCCCAAACGGAGGAACAAGACGTCTTTCCAGCTCAGCTAGCTATATAGTATATACCGTGAAACGGATGATTAACTTGTGCCACGCATGACAGCTTCTGTCCCATTCGGCCCAGGCTTAGACACATCAATGCCAATAGCAGCTGATCCTCCATTACATGCTCATTGGCGATTTACGGCCACCTCCAACTGTATCCGCCGTCCCTCAGCTTCCGTCTTCGCAGATCTGGCTCGGCGCAGTACATTTTCTCGGCTAGGCTCAAAGAAGTCCCACAGAGCGGTCCAAACACCTGAAGGCAAACCAGTCAGAAACTGGCGCGGCTCAGAGTCTTTCTTTATGTTATTGTACGTAAGCTGTTTTTCGGCTTTCTTCACCCCATCGTCCAACTGCTCCACGAGACTCTGTACACGAGCTCTACTTGCTGCCAACTCCTGATGCAGATGCTGCACTTCCATTACTTATACAGGACCAAACTGCACTAAGCCAGGTTCCTTTCCAACTCAAAATGCCGTTGCCTCTCAGCAAAATACTGGTTTGCGAGCATGGGGAGCTCGTGATGCAGACGCTGCACTTCCATGACCGAACTGCACTAGGCTCAGCAAATACTGTTTTGCGAGCATAGGGAGCAGAGCGTCCAGACTCCACTCTCTTAAACCTGGTACCGTAGGACAGCTGTTTGGCTTCCTGGACTCATCCTGCCCTTGTAGAGCTGGGCAAAACGATTTCGACTTCGGGATCGAAATGATCGCTGCATCTCAAATATTCAGAGTGACCCTAAAACTACGTCCTTCCTCACGGGGAATAGCCTGGATCCGCTTGCTCCAGGCCGCTGTGGCTCCACACGACGAAAGGAGTGAAATGACTTGCTTGCTTCGTCCTCCTGTTCTGACAGTGAGGAACGCAGCAATGATCCTGAGAAGGCATCCTGAAGTCGTAAAAAGGAAGACGTCTAAACAAAAACAAAACAGCTCAAATCAAAAGTCCTTGTGGCATTTTTTGTAGACAGGCTTGCACTGCGTGTAGAGTTCGCGTGCTCTGCACTTCGCATGCGAGAAGTCACGCAAAGCCGAGGTGAGGTTGGTCGCGTGTGTGCAGCAGGATCCCACGCGACTGCGGAGTTGCCCCCTTGCTCGAACCCAGACAATAATAAGGGGATCGGTCTATCTGCGGACAGTGTAGTACTCAATCTGCGGACAGTGTAGTACTCAATCTGCGGACGGTGTAGTAGTAGTACTCAATCTGCGGACAGTGTAGTACGGTATATCTACTAATAATTTTCTAGTACTAGATCAGCCATAGACCATGCATGCATGCATAGAGACTTGACGCAGCAAGAGACGCATGTGTGGAATGCGAGCACAAAGCTGGAAAGTAGACCAGTTACCTGGCCTCTCTCAATGATCCTCTTTCCATCTTGACCCTGGGCCTGGGCGGTTGTGTGGTGCATTGAGCCATTGTAGCTACAAGCATTACTGCCGACCGATGATTCACTTCATAATAGAAAGCATTTAAAATATGTACGCACGCATATTCATCCAGCTTTTTTTTAAAACAATCATGGTAGATCTACATGACCGTGCAATGGTCATGTAGATAATATCTAGGTCGAAAAGAGGTGGGTTGTCTGCCTCCACTTTGCAAGCAGCTCCGAGTCTGTTACACTGGTTGGTAGCGTTACACTTACACTTTACAGTGAAGCTGAGCTGGATGGAGCAAAGAGACCAACACGAGCATTCTTCGTCTGTGGGCAGTAGATCTACATCAGCACAGACTGTCAGTCATCTGGCCATGTAGAATACAATCAGTCCGTCCAAATCATGTGAAACGTTACGTTTGCAAAAGTGGGGATTCTGCCACCACAGATCTACGTTCCGTGCATGCATGTGCAGCTAGCATCGAAGTGGATGATCGATGGTAGGTCTACTGTCGTACTGACTCTGAAGTCTGAGTCTGAGTCTGTGCATGTGGTAGATTTACATGGTAGAAAATCGTCATGATGTTATGCCGTGCGGACACGCAGTAGCCCAGCCAACACTGCAACAGGCATACCCGAACTGAAGGTTTGCTGCTGTCACTTCGCTTCTTTGCTCTGCTTGGCTGCATCCCAAGCCGCTAGCAGCGGCGACACAAGATCGGCTGGACATTTGCGGGCCAAACTGGTTGCTTGCCTTGCAAGATCAGTAGTGATGTGCTTCTAATCTGAGAAGGAGTTCGCTAGCTCTGTTCAGCAGATACACTTGCGGAGGACCCTGGCAAAACCCTCACCAGCGTGCGTCGTTGCCAAATAGGTCCTGACTGTTGCTTGCATTCTGGAGAGCAACTAGCGCATCTCCTCTCCTCCTTCTCGCCTGTAATGGCGACGATAGGCCTGCAACCTAAGTCCAGATCGCTGAGCACGTCGACTGCGCAGTCGGACAGTGCTTCACTACTTGACGGTAAGTAACTGGAGCACGCTCTCCGCGTTTTCTTGGAACGCAGGCAAATAGCTTGAACTTATTTGAAGTATGTATGCTGCCGCTTTGTCGTAACGAGAACGATTGGGCTGGAAATTAGGTTGCCCCACGTGGTTTGATGTATTTTTCGAATTCTCTCTCTCCCTCGCTGAATGTAGGGATCAATCGGACACTCCCTGGATTGGACCGCTTCCTCAAAGTTGACCTTCAATCCCAGTCTCTAAGCTCAGATGCTCAAACGGAGTTGGAGCGACTGACCTCGTTACTATCCGATTTGGAGAAGACAGCAGGTCGCGAAGGCGATCCACATGCATCTCAAAACGGCTTAGGTAGGTCGAGCTGCACATCGCAAACACGAAAACTCCTAAAATCGAAAGAGCTTGATGGTACCTGAGTTTGTTACTGACTGTGGATGTACGCAGCTCTATTTTTGCACGAATGCTACTCTTCTTCCTGTCTGCTCCGTTGACATGCGGTGGTATATTGCGCTGCGTTGCACTTCCAGGTATGCAGCGCGCTAGCCTATCCTAGCGTTGTGTGACCATTGAACGCCGTGTGCTGTAAACGTTTTTGTCGCTAGCTGGCTTTCCGGTGCTGCAGGAAGTTGCAAGTGAACTACGAGATCAAGTTGTATCGCGTGGAGGCAGTTCGCTGCCCCGACACAGATGCACTTGCTATCCCCAGTGTTACGGTTGATGCGAAAATGACTTGATTTGTCACGCACAGGGTGTCGTTGCTCGCTAGAAGAACTCGTTTTCAGGCAGCAAACCTGCTGGACCGTTCATGTCGTCCAAAGCCCAGTTTGAAGGGATCTGACGAAAATGAGTAAACATCGAGCAATTCACTTACTAGTACATGTAGTAGCAGACTTGTCCCTTTTGTCCTCCGCTTGTTTTTCAATCACTGGAATCCTGCAGCACAACAAGCGCTGGTAAACAATGGTATGAGCAATCGTGATAAGGCCAATTCGGGCTGTACAAGCTCGCTGTATGAGCTCGCTGTACAAGCTCGCTGTATGAGCTCGCTCTGTATTTTTGGGTACAGTAGTTTGATCTAGAACTTGCAAAAAAGCTATCACGCATATTTCTTACCCTGGTGCATATTATTTCAATGTCGCACCGTTCTCCAGGGGATCATCACAAACTGTACTCATATTCGCCAGTTCAGCGATTGGTTGAAATATTGTTTTATCCTTGACCTGATGTTGGAGTCTATCTTATACTAAGTCTTATAGTTTACATTGGGTGTCATGTACTAGTAGTATGCAGTGAGCAAATGTGTGTATATTTTAGGGATTTTGAAGGGTGTAGAGCATAACATAAAACATCGGACTGAAATCTGCCGATGCTACAAGGTCAGGGGACACACAACCAACCGTTGTATAACCTTTTCGACTGCTTAGAAACTCGTGTGTTCTTCTACACGGCAATGGTTTGGGAGTGGAGCAGGACTAACAAAACAGCATTGCACAAATGGGATATCTCGGGTAATAGTGAATGTACATGTAGATGCGTGATTAGCATCAGCAGAATGGGACGATGAGAGGTCGTACAAGTCAACAAAGCATGCCGTACACCTGTGTGGTCCTTGTGTCAGTAGTGCCTTTGCAACAGTTGTTCTTTGGACAGTTTTCTGAAGTTCTGAACCCTGTAGGCTGTAGACTGTAGTGCTTGTGTGAATATCAGTAGTTGATCTTGAAAGTATCCAGTTCGCAACAGATCTAGGTGGTTATCAATTCGTTTGGCATGTAACTTGTAAGCAAAGGCTTAGTTCACTCCTGGGGACCTTGCAATGCCTATGATACCAAACTGAAGTGTGATGAGCTGCATGCATGCACAGCTTCAAAGAGTTAAAAGACTAATGTTCTTGTCTCCCTGATGACGTTGCATGCAGTAGGCTAACGCATCTCTCTAGTTCTCTTTAGTGGTGGGAATTGTAGGTGATATTATTGCAGGGTGCGAGAGAGCTCTCGGCCATTGAAGAACATGTTGAGTATCACCTCCGCCACTACACTGCGCTCTCAGCCGACTAGACCCTCCTGCACACAACCATCACCACTGCGAGGATACTTCCGTAGACGATTACTTTTATTGAAAAAAGTAATCAATATGTAGGTGATATGTTCCTCATACTTCGAAGTAATTCTATATTTGTGGGGATTGCACCAGGCTGGCATGGACATAAGCTGCAGACCATAGCCGACACAATCTGAACATAATGCACCGGCTATGGTTGCCGGTTTCAAAGCTTATTATCTTCTGCATGATTGGATTGGAGTATGGTTATCATACACGTGCATAGCAATGACAAGACATGCTGCTCTTTGTTGTCTTTGTGTGAAGCTTTCACACATTGGCTACTAGGATTTACTATGCTATGTCTATTCTTGAACATCTACATTGTGTCCTTGTGTCACAGATGGATTCTCCAATGGAGATCTTGTCTCGTCGGGGCGCAGTGACACGGCGTTCAGTGGCTTCCTCGCCCAGGCCATCATCAAGAGCCTGGGGTTTGTGTCGTGGAAGCGGCGATGGGCCGTGTTGAACCACGACGACACCGTGCTGCGTCTGTTCCGCACTCGCGCCGAGACCAAGCCCGTCACCGAGTACGACATCCGCGGCTGTCACGTGTGCGTGGCCGAGCCGCACGAGTGCGGCGAGAAGGCACTGACGCTGAAGATTACGAACCCGGACTCGGACCAGCCACTGTTCTTTTGCACCTACGTGGACAGTGAGTATCAGAAGTGCATGCGCGCTCTGGCCGCCGCCACTGGGGTAGCTCACCGCGAGGAGGACTTTGCCATCCAGACCACGTCTTCCTCAATGTCCAAAGCCATCAACATGGTGTCCGTCGGACGCGAAACCCCCGACCTGGGCAGTTCGGTCAAGTCGAGCGGTTCCACTTTCCTCGATGGCAACGAGGGAATAATGGACCAAACGTATGATGTGCCGAGACCCCAGGCGTTGAGTTCAAGCCGCGAGCAACTCGATTCGATCGACTCCAACAACGATAAGCGTCAAACAAAGTATTCGGTCAGTGCCGAAGGGGATTATTCTGAAATCCACGTTGACAATCCTGACAGCCAGCCTATGGAAAAGCCAATCGCCCCGGCCAGGAAACGTGTGACGCGCGATCCAACGGAAGCCGTGCCAGACCTGCCACCTCGGTCATACGGTGGGCAAGCATCCTCAGTTCTGGATAACAAAGCAGAAGAGAGCAACTACGAGTCGTTGCCGTTCGAAGAAGTAAGCTTGTGAACGTCATACAGGGAACGAGAACGTCATACAGGGAACGATAATGGGAGGGAATTGCGATGACTGGTGATATGTCTGTAACAGAACAATACGAAATTTATTCAGTGTTTTCCTGGAGAATGGTTAGAAACCACCAATAAAGTGAGTGATTATGAAAGGTAGAAGACAGTAATAAGCATCACCGGCTAGCTGTTTTTCTTGTTCCAAAATGTTTCATCATAGCCTAGGAGCTGTGGCATCATTCATGATCCACAGCAAGAAGGCAACAATGCCTGTACCTAGAGTGAAGTAAAATAAAGACAACATAACATTCCTTGTCGTCTACCGCAGGGCGATGGCGGCTCAAACAGCGACAGCAGTGACGCCTCCGGAATCTACGAGGACCTGGAGGTGAAGGGGGACAGCGATGCCGGCTATCGCTCTACGGACTCCGCCACCGGCACGTCCATCTTGGGATGGTTCCGACGCAGCACGGCCGAGCGCAACAGCAGCCGCGCTGCGGAGAAGACTCGCAAGCATCGACGCAGCGTGGCTGCACAGCAGCTGACCGACTGCGATCAGGACGGCTACTTGTTCAAGCGCAGCTCGACGGGCCTCACATGGAAGCGCCGCTGGTGCGTCTTGAAAGAACGTGCTTTCTACTATTACCGGTGAGAATGGGGCACAACAATCGAAAGGGGTAGGGGTGTGCTAACTTATCAGGGTAGGGGTGTGCCATTATAGTAAGGGGTGCTACCCCCCCCCCCCCCCCCCCCCCCCTCTCTGGCTTATACTAGTACCCTGATGATTGCATGCGTGTTTTCAACCCTGAAAGTGATGACCAGCTATGTGTGTTGGACTAATGCCTGGTCTGTGTTGTATTGACCAACCATGTGTGTTGGACTAATGCCTGGTTTGTGTTGTATTGCTGCCACTAGATCACGTGATGACGGTCGTGCACAGAACACCATAATACTACCAAGCTGGCAAATCTCACCAGCCAGCGAGGAGGTGAAACGTCCTTACACGTTCAAACTCAGTCACGAGGGCATGCCGGCATACTTCTTTGCAGCCGAGACGGAGAATGAATACAACACCTGGATGGAGGTATGGCACATGTACTCTCTGTGTATGAGTGTGTGTGTGGGGAGGGGGGGAGGGGGGTGCAACCAATGTCTGTACCACTGCCACACCTGTGACCGTTGTTTCCGGAGTAAAGCGGGGCACCGTCGGCACAATTCCAACCGCAGAACATGCAGCTCTGGCTCCGAGCGCCGCACCATCCCATACCCGACCTGCGCTTGGAAGTTCACACGTCCCCAGTGCCTGGATCAACACAAATGCAAGAAGTAACTCTGCCCTCCTTGCCTCTTTGAGGCACTGCATTACCTTTAGGTAGTAGTTTCAAGGTTCAAGGTGTGTGTGTGTGTGTGTGTGTGTGTGTGTGTATGCGTGTGTGTGTGTATGTATGTATGTGTGTGTGTGTGTGTGTGTGTGTGTGTGTGTGTATGTATGTGTGTGTGTATGTGTGTGTATGTATGTGTGTGTGTGTGTGTGTGTGTGTGTGTGTGTGTGTGTGTGTGTGTGTGTGTGTGTGTGTGTGTGTGTGTGTGTGTGTGTGTGTGTGTGTGTGTGTGTGTGTGTGTGTGTGTGTGTGTGTGTGTGTGTGTGTGTGTGTGTGTGTGTGTGTGTGTTAGTCACCAGTCGTGACTCAAAATCATGAAAGCATTGCTTCAACTTAATCGTCAATGCGGAGACAGTAGTTGAAAAATTGAATTGATCAGTGAGTGCACTATATAAATAGTTATAATCAGGATTTGGCAGAGGGTTCAAAGAGCTCATTTATCTTAAAACCCTGCTTTTGAACACAGTGCATGCCTGCCAACCATCCCAATTTGGTCGGGACCGTCCCGATATCAAGGGTGGTAATAAGCACCCAAAAGTGCATTTGTGGCATGCCTCACAGCTACATTTGTAAACAATCATGTTCATAGCTAGGTATGTCATTGTCTCGATGTCAGGTTTGCAATGCTTGGCAGGTATGATAGTGGTGTTGTATGGACCATGCTGAGAGGTTTCCAGCTCCACAGTGTGTTTGCTTGCTGACACGATCCTGTTATATCACTCACTGTTCACGCAGGTTGTGAAGCAGTCACTCAGAGTCGTCCCCGGCCTTCCAGCTCCGACGGGTGACTACGACGTGCCGCCTAAACGTGAGCCGAGCGAGTCCTATGTTCTCCTCAAAGCCGTTCAGAACTTGGGAAATAGCGCAGAGGATGATGAGGGTGAGTTTGTGTTACTGCTGGCCTGAAAAATCCAGTTGTGCTGCTCCTGTACTTGGCATCCATATAGCTGAGGGTTTGTGGTTGTTAGAAAATGGCCACAAGTCCCTTATCCCCAGTTTATTTTTGCAGCATCTTGATGAAAGTACATAAAGGGGAATAAGTCTCCATTATGTCTGAGGGTTCGTAGGTATTGTTATTAACAAAATGGACACAATCCCCAGTTCCGTTCTTCATGGTTCCCCACATGGCCGTTTCAGTTGAGCAAGCACTGCCTGGTTACACATTCCCAGCATGGGATATCATGTTGTTCCATTGTGTCAATTGCCTCGCCTCCTTCACCTCATCTCCGGTATTGCGAATTCAAATAAAAAGAACAACAACAACAACAACAACCTCCCACCGCTTTAGAAGCCACATCTGCGTCTTGATCCGCCTTGGGGGCTGTGGTGTTCATACGGATGCTGAAAACTCAGCCTCCCGCCCCCATGGACCGTGAATGCTTGTGTTTGTCTATTTCCATGCTGTGTGTCTATTGCCATGCTGTGTGTCTATTGCCATGCTGTGTGTCTATTGCCATGCTGTGTGTCTATTGCCATGCTGTGTGTCTATTGCCTTGCTGTGTGTCTATTGCCTTGCTGTGTGTCTATTGCCTTGCTGTGTGTCTATTGCCATGCTGTATGTCTATTGCCATGCTGTGTGTCTATTGCCATGCTGTGTGTCTATTGCCATGCTGTGTGACTGTGTAGCTGAAGCCATGGAGACCTATCAGGTCCCACGCAGCCACGGAGCAAGCCAGTCAACATCGGCTGCCAACAACCATCTTGGCGCCGATGAGGACATTGATGTTGAGGAGAATGTCTACAACGTCCCCAGGCCGTCGTCCACTGACCTTCCACCACCGTTACCAAGTGGACCGCGACCTCCACCAAAGACCGTAAGCAGAATATTGATCTTCAGAAATATGCTGTTTATTTATTTTCACTGGTTTGAGAGAAAGACACAAACGGGTTTATTTTTTATTTAATTTTTTTACTTGTTAAATTTCGCAAATCCAAACAGGAATTTCTACCCAATAACAAAGTAGCGAAGCGGGAAGAAGAAAAAAAGAGCGAAAATGTGTGTATGCACTGGATATGATAGTCAGCTGGACATCAATTGTACGGATCCATTGTCAAACATGGCATTAGCTACTGTTGATTTGTTGATCTTAAAATATGCTACTAGTAACTGTCAAGTAGTGCAGATATTGATTCTTCAGTTTGTCTTCTCTGTTCCGCCAGTTCTTCCTGTATAAAATGCTCCGCTGCAGGCAGGTTTTTGGGCAGGAGTGTGTGGTCAAAATTTCACTCAAATCCACTGAGAAACACCAAAGTTACGGTCAATTGAATACCATATGAAATTTATGGGTAGGCTGCCCCCTTAAGGTGGCAGACTACCCAAAAATTCGCTGAAAAATCGAATTTGTAAATTCATATTGAGTGCTACGTCAGTTGAAAGAGCATGAATAGCTGCAAATTCTCTGAAAATTGTGTCCCTATCTGACCAACCGTTCAAGAGTTATGGCCGAAAATGTGCCCTTGCAAGGAAAGATTTTTTTGTTGCACGCTGTCATTTGTTGGCAGCACTGTATTTGAATGTGAGCAGACCGTGCGCAACTTGTCGTATCATGGAAACACGCGAAAGTGTGCAGAATTTTACCCCAAATCCAAAAAAGTCCAAAAATCACGTTAAAAAACCACGTATTGGGCTGCACGGCGGCAGGACCTAACTCTTAATCATTGTTGTGATTTGCTTTCAAGCAATGTGCATAATCAGTAACTTGATGTTTCTGTTTTTGTTTTTTTTGTTTTTTTGGTTTCCCGTTCTCGGGGCCTTCTATTCGGTACTCTTTGTAGTTGTACTTCTGTACTGTTGAGCTATCCGAATTCAAATAAACATTAAAAAAAAAAAAAAAAAAAAAAAAAGGACCCAAAAACCGGTAGACAAACTGACTAAGAAGTGCAGCGAAACATGCTATACCGTTGCTGTGTATACCGAGCTGTGCATGGCACGACTCATCGATCTGACTATTATTGCATAGCTCGCGTATAGTTCTGTGCACATGTGTGTATTGCAGCACTCTGTTCGAGCTGCCTCGACCAGCCCTGTTTATTCATAGCTTGAATTAGTTCAAACAGCTTTCGTGTAGACGCAAATGAAATAAATAGAGAAAGTTGCGCATATTTTGTGTTGCGCTTATTGTGCACATTGTGAATATTGCGTTTGTATTGAACGCGCAACTTGCTTCATTTATTGCGTTGAATTTGTTTCCATATCTTTTTTTCCTGCGTTGTGCTTGTACAGAAGAAGGGAGGCAGCAGCAGTAGCAGCGGTGGCGGCGGCGGTGGTGGCGGCGGTGGTGGTGGTGGTGGTCACCCGATGAGCGACGAAGCAGCAGGCGGTGACAATTCAGCACAGTACAACAAGGTGCCTCTGCCCAACGCAGTGATTGATAGCGCACAGCGTGAGGGGCAGCCTGGTAAGCTGCAATGGAGTACACATTCTATTACACATTCTAAGCCCAGGTTTGAAAATTCTCGAATGACCAGAAGGAACAAATTATGACAAAATTAAGGAGCAGCTGGAAGTCGGTGAAAATACTAGCTGCAATGCACTCAAGAAAACAGTGCAAGGAGATCATGCATGCAACCCCTTGTAGAAATGAGTTGTGTGCCGCAAACACGTGGGATCGAGACAGAGGGTACCCCAAATGCGTAAATCCTGGTTTGTGTGTGTGTGTGGGGGGGGGGGGGGGGAGGGTTTGAGGGATTTACCTGCGCTTCGGATTGGACCTAATGGGGTTCTGGGGATAGCTGTGTCAGTGTTGTTAATTGACTGTGACCTGAGATCGGAGAGCAGCTGCAGGGCAAGCCCGCCGCTAGCAATGTGTGTGCAACAGTGGACATGCAATGGGAGATGTAACCTATGCTGCTGCTGCAATTGTACTGGAATTTGTGTTTGGGGCATACGCATAGTATAATGCTCAATGCCATTTTGGTGGTCATTGGGGCGGGGTGGTGTGTGTGTGTGTGTGTGTCGGGGGGGGGGGGGGGGGGGGGGGGTAATACAAGGCCAAATACATATGCACAATTGATCGCAGACTATGGCTAGACTCTTTCTCTTAAAACAATTTGGATTTCCAGTACATCAATTCAACAATTAACACTGTTTGGGTAGCATGCAATGCCAACTTGATGGGTTGGAGCGGTAATTCATCCAAATTGCATGTAGCAACGCAACCCTTGATGTGAGACCTTAGCTGCAACGGGCTCCAGTTCAGGATGTCCTCCTTTCTGTTATCATTTGAAATGTGCCTTGGACCATAGGTACACGCTACGGCTCTTCCACTAACAACAACGAGGTGGATACAAGTGGCACGTTTGAACGCGGCGGTGTGTACAATTCCCTATCGAAGAAGGCACGCAAGCTGGTCGGTCGCAGCAAGAGCACATCATCAGCATCTCGGTCAGTATGGATATGAGAATACATGTACTGGTGTTGAATGCCGTTCCTATGGCGGTTGGTTATAGACCAGTACATATAGTTTACAAAGCTTGTAAACTTCCATCATTTAATGATGGCTGCTGTAGATATAACATGAGCACGTCGTCAGCATCTCGGTCAGTATGGATATGAGAATACATGTACCGGTGTTGAATGCTGTTCCTGTGACAGTTGGTTATAGACCAGCAGTATACAGAACTTCTGACACTTCCAAGCTGAGTTTGGACGTTTCTTGCAGCTTCATTGAATCCAATTATGTTATGGGCTAACAGCCACACCTCAAATTGCACTGCTGTATACTCTACCTTCTAGAGTAGAGAAGCAGTGCAATTTCAGGTGTGACTGTTAGCCTACAACATGCTTGAGCACTTCCATCGTTTAATAATAGAAACTGTTAAGGCAATACAGTTTTACTTGTCCTTGCTGTATGTTTAGTTATTGATAGTGAGTTTTGAGTGTGCAGGTGGTGTGTTGTGATGCTCACCTGGTCATGTGATCCGCGATAATCGATCGGCATGTTGTCTGTTGCTGCTGGTGCCGTGCTTCTTGCAGTGTGGTGGTGCACACGGCTGATCTCACCATGTGTTGTGATGTTTGCCTGGCCATGTGATTTGTGATAATCAATGTATGTTGTTTGATGCTCGTGCCATGCTTCTCGCTCAGTGTGGTTGTACACACTGATGAGCGATCGGTATGTTCTCTGATGCTGGTGCCGTGTTTCTTGCAGTGTGGTCGTGCACACGGCTGATCGCACCATGCAAGGCTGCCTCAACGTGCGTGGCTCCTACCGATGGGGAAAGCACTTCTGCGAGCTGCGCCAGCAACGCTTCTACGTGTACAAGGGCATGGTGAAAGACGAGAAGACCATAGTGCACGAGGTAAGTCATGCTGATAGCCAAATGAATCCACTGCTATTTGTTAGTCACTCTTACCATTTTGTCCTTCTCCTTTTTGTAATCCACAATTGTCCAAGTGGTCGCTTTTTACTGTGTAATGTATCTGTATAGTATATCCATGTACCTAGATCTAACGTTACAAGTCCATGTAACTATACCGGTGCTCGTGTACACATGTGCTCACGTGTATGTGTTTGTGTCTGTCTGTCTGTGCACCTCCATTGTCGTTAACAGCTACGTATTCTGGGTATGAAAGTGGAGCAGGCGGAGAAGGAGACGAAGAGAAAGAACTCGTTCTGCTTGGTGAAGAAGCGCGGCGGCCATCAGGCGCGTGCAGTTTATTTTTACTGCGAGAACGAAGAAGACTACAAGCAATGGTTCATGGGACTGGCCGAAGCCACCATGATCAAGGTACTGTACTCAGTAACTGATGTAGTGACTCCACACCCAGGGTACACGTAAATGTATTTTGTATTGTATCGTATTTTATTATTTTACTTTGGCATTCCCAACACTGACCCTAAGGTCTTCTTACAGGGCGCCCAAGTGTCTGCCACATAAGCGGTGTACTTAACTCCTTTCCAAGCGCAATGCGCAGTGAATTTGTCTCTATTTACATGATGCTCAGTGAACAGGTTTCCACCATTGGGATACTACAATAGGCCTGGTTAAGGCAACCACTTCAATTACCTTCATCATTTTGCGAGAACTGTGGCAATACGCCCAGTGAGAAGGCAGATTTTGCCTGTGCTTCTGGTGAAGTAAAATAAAGCTAAACAAACAAACAATTAGTGGCCACCAGGTGACTAAACTCAAGACCCGTGCTGAATGTAGAAAGGAAAGGGATGTATGGCTCATGTGACTCATACTAAAGCTCAACATACTGGTGCATGTCCATTCTGACCCTTATTGCGACCTCCTGCCCTTTCACAATGCTCAGATTCAAGCAGTCGACGACGTCAACACAATTCACAAAGGTGGCAAGGCAGCTCCCAGCACCGTGGGTCTGGATGAAGCACGCCGCAGGCTGACCAATCCAGGTGATACTGCAGTGGACGGCGCTGGTCTCGCTGGTGCTTCTGGTGTGGAGGTATGTTCATGGTACAGTAAGACCTGGTGTAAGCGACCTCTGGGTTTAGCGGCCACCTGCTCTTATCTACCGTTTTTCCATGCACCGACAGTTCTTACACAGACGCTGTGGGACCTGGTTCTAAAGATCACCTGGCTTTAACGGCCGCTTTTGCTTGCACCGTGGGGTGGTCACTTAAACCAGGTTTTACTGTAATATGCTGAGGAACAATCATGATTAAATAATCGACGAGAAGACAATACGAAGTAGTGGTGGCGACTTCGGCGATGACTTGTAAGAAAGGGTTTGCTCCGAGCTCCGGTGTGGGGAGCAAACCCTTTCTGAGAAGACAATAGTCATAAAAATTAATGGCGATGAAGAGAACTGATTGTGCTCTCAGTGCAATGCGAAATATGAAGGTGCATATACATCTGTTTTGCATTCTTACAAGCACACATTTCGTTTATTTTAGGGTCGCTATCAACCGTACCAGGAATCACACAATTACCTGTGCTCAATGCACTGGCCTCAGCTCAGGGTTAATTCGGGTACGCTCTACTCGTTGAGACAACAATCCGCCGCTTAGAAATACCTCAAACACACAACTTCAACTTTGTGTACACGCAAGCCAATTTCTTCTCATAGAACAGAGCTGGAATTTGGACCCGCAAGAAGAGAAAGGGCTTCACTACTTCCCACCAGGTCTTATTGTCGAAAGTGCAAACACGTTTTTCAATTTTTCGATTTTCTGCACCGTTACGTAACTGTGCCATCACCCCCATACTGTTCCTCTCGTCGCGCTTGCGTGCCCTGACAGGCAACACATGACCAGGCCTGGAGTACCTACTATACTAGGGAGATGATTCACTTTCTTTTTTGAGTATTTGCAGTCTGTGTTGTCTGTGTTTTTCTCTCTTTCGTGGAGGCTTGCTTGTTGTATCATTGGCTCTCGGCCGTTACCGTTTATCGCCATCATAATATTGGGCACCATTGCCCGTTTGGTCTGCGATACAAATAAAATTTCAACAACAACAACAACTATAGGGAAGATCCACTATAGGGAGGTGACCCACTATAGGGAGGTGACCCACCATAGGGAAGATTCACTATAGGGAGATGACCCACCCACTATAGGGAAGATCCACTGTAGGGAGGTGACCCACTATAGGGTAGATCCACTATAGGGAGGTGACCCACTATATGGGAGATCCAATATAGGGAGGTGACCCTCCATAGGGAGATTACCCGCTATAGGGAGATGACCCACTATGAGGATGACACTACAGGGAACTAAAACACTATAGTATAGGCAACTTACTCTCTAAGGAGTGGGCTCGAAATAGAGGAACGTGGCATGGGGCTGGGTCCGTCAAATAATTATATAACATGTGAGTACCAAAAGCTCAAGTCCAAAATGAGAACTGTACATTCGGCCATACTTCGGTTTGTGATTCTTTTTGATCCTTGTGCCTTTTATGATTCAGTCTCCAGAAAACCCTGGCCTTAGGAGAAGTGACTATGAGTCTGGAGTGACGCTCAAGTCCAGCCTGCCCAACTGGCTGCAGGAAGAGGTTAAGAAGAGAGAGACGGACGAGCCGAAGAGCAGCAGCGGCGGTGGCGGCGGTGGTGGTGGTGGTGGCAGCGATTACCCGCTCTTCCAGGGCTATCTGCAGAAGCGCAGCGGTCCGTCCATGTGGCATCCGCGCTACTGCATCATCGAGAACGGCACCATGGCATGCTACGCGCAGAAAGGCAGCCAGTTACCCACTCAGGTGCAGCCACTGGCTAACTGCTCGGTCACGTCCTCCAGCAAAGATCGCATGAAGAATGTTTTCAAGGTGAGGCATCTTTCTTCTGTAACCTTGCCCTTGATTCTTTCCTGCTCAAGGAGGCAAGCTGAGCACAGGGGAAGGATAACTGTACTGGTTAATATCTCATGTCTGCATTCTATGTTGTACAATTATGGCTACTGGTAATCGTGGGAGACTCTAGTCTTTCTTCAGCAGCCAGCCAGTGATGTTGTATCTGTATGAATAATGTATTGCCAGAGTAATTCATGACATGCCTGGATTCCATTCTCATCATTCCTTGGTGCTCGCTGCTCAACAGGTCGTCCCGCCATCGCCGTTCCCGGCACTCTACTTCTCCGCGGACAACCAGCGCGACATGTTTGAGTGGGTGTCCTACATCAAGATAGCGGCCAGTGCGTCCGACTCGCGCTCCGAAGGACAGTCCGCGCGAGCGAGCGTGGCTGTTGGCCAGTCGTTCAGGACATCATCGCGGCGGAGCAGCAGAGGGCGAGACCGTACTCTCAGCACCGGAGATGCCCCGCGACGGGTAAGCAATATAGAGAAAAAGCTCGTTATCTGTGTGACCACCGAGTTTGCTAAGGGGCCTTCCGTAAATACCGATATTTATTTAGAAACGAAAACTAGTCGTTTCTCTTCAACCCCCCCTCCCTGAGAAACGAACACATACACATGGTACATAGTATCGATATTTTTGGTCTTTTTTCTGGAAATGCTCACGCATGCCAAATGTACATCGATATTTTTTGAGAAACGAACAGGCGCTAAACCCCTCCCCCCTAAACGACTAGTTTTCGTTTCTAAATAAATATCTATATTTACGGATGGCCCCTAATGGATTACCAAACAACATAAACACGCACGATAAGTCCTATGTTTACTGGACCCTGTACCAGGCGGAATCCTGTGTTGAGCACCCAGAATTTCATGCACCCAAGTGCTGTGGATCGAACGTGCATCCCTGGCTCGAGCGGAATCCTGTCACATCAAGACAGTTTCCGCTGCATCAAGGGTGTCCTGTTAGGGCAGGTTTTACTGTAATTTTCTTTTCTAAAACCCTACCCTCTCCAACCATTCACACAGTTCTCAGTGTCAACATGTACTCAATGGTGTGTCCGTCACCAAAATCGTCCTTCTCTTCACATGAAAAGAAAATGCTTTATTGCAGCGGAGAGTTTCGTCACACCAGGAGACACATGTTTTTTTGCAGGAGAGGGTCCACATGAAGAGAAGAATGTCCCCCCCCCGTGGCAAATAGATCATTGAGTATCTGGTGAGACAGCGTAACATAGTTGCCTGCTCGTGTTCTTTGTGCTTGGCTTCCCGCTGGTGTAGGGGCTGTTCAGTCGCATCCGCTCGTGGAGCGTGGAGAACCTGTCGTTTGGCCGCCGTCGCTCCGGCTCAGGGTATGACACGGATGGCGAGGAAGACACGGACGGCGGGAGCGATGCCGTGTATGGCGGCTCTATGGACCTGCAACGCAACGCCGTTTCCCTGGGCCACGGTCCATTCCGGCGATCGCGACGCGGCGTGGGCAAGAAGAAGATCAACACGAAGTCGGCGCCGACTAGCAGCGGAGAGTTGCGAATCGAAGAGCCGAGCAGATCCGGCACGCCCGACTATATCGGCCGCTGGTGCGAGGTGAAACAACTGGTGCTGAGTATTTACGAGCACGAGCAGAATCGCAAGCCGCTGCAGACGGTCAAGCTGCCCGGCAGCACTGTGATGGTGCAGCACGGCAACAGCAGTGAGGATCAGGTTATACAGCTGACACCGCTTGATGGCAAGCAAGGTATACGCATTCGGGTAAGCTGAGCCGTACTGCTATGGCATTGATCGGTTGGGTTGGATTTCATACAGGTACAATGGCATGGGAGATATTCAGTCAACAATGGGGTAGTCCTCGTCATGGAGGTTCTGTTGTGTAAAGTTTTACTGCCAGGAGACTGGCGAAAGGTGCTCCCGATTTTTGGGCACTGGCATTTCTCCCGTGTCCGCGGGGGTGGGCTTTGCGGTCCACTGTATTACACTGTGCAAGAGGGTGTAAGTTCAGTGTAATGTATTGGGGCTTTGTGTTTGTGAGGCTTCATTGACTACAGACTGTACTGCATGGGTGCCTAGCCTGTTCACTGGAGCTGTGGTGTCAAGCATTATAGGCATGTAGTAAGACTCTCTCTTCAGCTAGTGCTTATACATCCACCTTAGCATATGTCATGTATCTCTATTCCTTTTTTGTGCGTGCATGCGTTTGTGTGTGTGTGTGTGTGTGTGTGTGTGTGTGTGCGTGCGTGTGTGTTTACAATAATTGTCATTATGATTTTGCCTATTGGTGTTGCTACTGCACTATCAGGTCCCTGGTTCAGAAGAAGCATTCCGTAACTGGTTGGAGTGCTTCCGGACAGCTGCGTCGCTGGCAAGTGGCCCCAAGCGCTCCTGGAGGGACAGCTTCCGTCGGAAACGTCCGGCTCCCACCCGTAACCGTGCGCCGTCGCCCGAGGAGGCGGTGAAGCGACGCACGCTGGTCGGGGACCACACGAGTCCACCTGGCGCGTACGCTCTGTACGAGACGGGATCACCGGATGTGCTGCCAGGCTATGCCAGCAGGGTATGTTGAGACATCAATGATAGCTGTGATGCTCTCATGCTAGATACTGACATTGCTGTAACGTTTTAACAATACTGAAACCTGTCAAATACGCCACCAAGTGACTAACTACCTCTCATGCTAGATACAGTAAAACCTTTCAAAGCGATCTTCTGGATAAGGCAACCACCTGTCCTAGAAGACCACTGAAACCAGGATCAAGAGATGCTATTTCCAGTCAAATGACCCTGGATAAGGAGACCACCTGGTAACAGAGACTGCATTTTGAAGGTCCCCTGAGCGGTCGGCTGGGACAGGTTTCTCTGTACTGACATTCCTGTATTGTTGTTACACAAGTGAAACCTGTGGAATGCAACACCCAAGAGACTTACTAGCCAAAGCTGCTATCCCATCGCTTGGGAATTTAAGTATGAGAATTTGCACATTTGTACGTGTGAGTGAGTGTGTGTGTGTGTGTGTGTGAGAGAGAGAGAGAGAGAGAGAGAGAGAGAGAGAGAGAGAGAGAGAGAGAGAGAAGGGAGGGAGGGAGGGGGTGGGGAGGGAGAACATGCGTATGCAGTCCCAGTATGCATGCGTGCATCATCATGTACATATAATAAGATGGAATTGAAGCCCTGGATTTGCACACGGTGTACTGCAAATGCGTTTGTTTCACCAAGCAACAGGAAACCAGTGTCAATGCTAGTCAGTGATGTGAGAGGCGCTTACTGTGCGCCGTACTGCAGAAGACATTGTTGCTTATCTTAATTCTCACAATGACCGTATCCGATTAAAGAGATAGCGCAGGAGATAGCGCAGGAGATAACGCAGGAGATAACGCAGGAGATAACGCAGGAGATAATGCAGGAGGGTGAAGTTCACAGATTGTGGTATGCATACTTCAGAAGTACTTCAAGTCTTCAAGCATGCACCAGTGTCTAAGATCCTCAGGCCGCGTAAACTCTGAAACTCTGAGTAACGGCGAAAGAAGGACTTGGTCGTACCATTGCCATGTGAGAATTCTATTACTTCAAGTATGTTAGTATGTATCCGAAACTTACCTCTCATCTCCTTTCCTATGATGGTGTTGTGTGATTGTGCTTGCAGCTGACAAGTGACCTCAATGCCATGACAGCGCAGCACCAAGGTAGAGTAGCTCATGTTTTCTTTGTTCTCACATCGTTTAATTGACGGGTGTTGAAACTTGTAAGGTATTTCAAGATGATGCAGTCAATTATTGTTGTAGGTGCCATTTTGTGGCCCTCCTCTAAAACAAATCAAAATTGGAGCCATCAATCATCGCATTTAAGTTAAGAAGATGTGTACCAACAATGAGAAGTGGCAGGGTCAGTACCGTAGTGACTGTAGCGTGTTCGACTCTCCTGATCAAGTATTACTCCTGATCAAGTATTACTCCTGATCAAGTATTAAAAACGTCACTTGAGGGTCTGTATGTGCATGTTCAAGCGGCATGCATTGTAGGTCATTACTCTGTTTCCTCATGCATTGTAGGTCATTACTCTGTTTCCTCATGCATTGTAGGTCATTACTCTGTTTCCTCATGCATTGTAGGTCATTACTCTGTTTCCTCATGCATTGTAGGTCATTACTCTGTTTCCTCATGCATTGTAGGTCATTACTCTGTTTCCTCATGCATTGTAGGTCATTACTCTGTTTCCTCATGCATTGTAGGTCATTACTCTGTTTCCTCAAGTCACCTGCTACAGATAATCCTGGAGATCATTTATTTCGGTGGGAAAGTCAAATGAGAGAAATTAACGCTGCATTAATTGCGATTTCTTTTGTAATGCTCCTCCAGGTGGCTCGAAACCCAAAGCTCCTCAGCCACCATCAGCTAAAGGAGCAGGAGCACCGTCCACCAACACACCAGACTCTAGAGCCTTATCCCTGGCTCCAGCAGGGGACGACGCGGGCAACGGCACGCCGAACAGAGGACCGCGCACATCAAGCAAGCCCAAGGCGCCAGTGGCACCTATGCAGCGTTCCAACGCAACCGACGTGCCCACACCGACAACGCCGACAACACAGCCGAACGGCGGTGCTGCTGCCGCCGCTCTTGCCAGTCCACAGCGCAAAATCCCCAACATCCCGCAACGCAAGGAGAGCATTCCGACCTCGCCGCTTCGCACTCCCAGCACCACCTCAGCGGACTCGACGACGAAGAGTGCTCCTCGGTTTGGCCCCGTGAAGGGTAGTAGCCTTACGAGCGGTGCCTCCCCTGTGGTGAAACCCAAGCCCACCGTTGCACCCAAGCCACCAGGCGGTGGTAGCAATGGCAATACCATGGAACGTCGTCAGCTGTCCGCCGCGTCTTCCCAGGCATCCAGTGCATCTGCCGAACTGCCCGGACTTCCTGACAACATGGCCGGAATCGACATGAAGGTGTTCACCAATCTGAAACAGCGTTACGCAGCAAAGGCGGAGGCCATCACCACCCAGAGCAGTGCCAAGCAGGCCGCGCTGTCCAAGGAGCGTGCCGACATCAACCGCCAGCAGAGCGAGCTGCAGCAGAAGCTGAACGCGTGCCGATCACGCATGAACTCCACCTCGGGCCAGCCGGCCATGGAGCTACGGCGCCAAGAAGCGGAGCTTCAGAACAAGGCCGGCTACCTTGACGGCCGACAGAGTCGAATCACCGACCAGATGATGAGAAACACAACTGAGCTGAAGAGCGCAGTCGACAGGCTGGAGCGTGAAAGAGACCTTGAAATCAAGAAGCTCAAAGAAAAGGACGCGTCCGAATCGGCTATGTGATCGGATTGACTCTGGAGACAGCGAGACATATCAGTTGTGTATTCCTTGAGTGGTTGCTCATAACATATTCCATTGCACAGGTAGACAGTGCAATATGACTCATTAGTGGAACTGTGCCGTCAGTGATTGCATTTCTCAGTTTACTTTTATTTGTACCAGTTTACTCTGTGCTCTTCGGCTACATTCAACCTAACTGGTTACTACTTCCAGAGTACCATTATAAACTGACTGTACATGCAATTTTTGTCCAGATTATGATCTACTCGTGCTGTTACGTCCGTCTTTGTTAACACTTAGCGGCGTGCCATGCTATAGACTCTAGCAGCATGGACTGATCATATGCCGGTTTCCATGCTATAACTTCTACCAGTAATAATTACAGGACTAATTTGAAACCAGCGTTATTTCAAACCTACCCACCTATGGTTTGTAGAGGTTAGTATTTTTTGAAACGTTTTTCGGGTTCTATTCCTTTATGTAACATTCCGCCTTATGAAGGAATCACACTAGCGATATTCTCTGTCAATCGTAAATCTACAATATCGTGGTCGGGCCCTGGTGCATGTATTTCTTTGATTGTAATTCAGTACGTAATTGCCGTAAAGTATTCTTGGTGCTACCACTTCTTTCTTTTGCCATTTCCTTCTTTCTCCCCCCTTGGCCTGCTTGGCCTCTCATGCCTGGGCATGGGTCTGTTGTGGTGCTATTTCTTGTACTGTAGTAGTGTGAGGGTGTGATGATGTGATGGTGTGAGGGTGTGTCTGATTTGGAATACACTGCGCCAGTCTTACTCCACTCGATAATGATAATTATAATGAGGCAGGCGCACCTTGTACAGTGTATGTCAACTAATCAGTTATGTTGTCAAAACACTCTTCCTATTCTTTCATGGTGCGGCCAGACGGGAAGGGGGAGGGCTTTTTGAAAGTTTTTTTTATCGTGGCGGTGGTGGGTACACTATGGATACGTGTGTGTCCTGGGGGAGGGGGTTGTAGCACAGATATTAATTTTTCTCTCGACAGTCTTCCATTCCAAAAGGGTTTGTCCAGGAGCATAGTATACATGTGCTTTGGTGAGCACATAGTCATTGGAAGCCCATTGTTGATGAACTGTGCATGCATGGTAATACTAATAGTGTACCATGCACACTGATATAATATACACTGCCAAGTACTGCATATCACCTGCGGTTGTTCAAAATAAAAATATTCATGTCGAGTCCGGATGTCCATTGACCAGCTGCTTTCCATGGTATGTATGCGGAACGCCACAGTACAGCGCTAGAAAGCGTCTGGAGCGACTGCACACATTAAAACTAAATTTCCTGTGTCGCACCTGGTCGTTATACGAAAATGCTCTGCCTGTCTGGTATCCACAGATTAACGTCTAGATGTTGTGGAGTAATCCGGAGTGGACGATCCCTGGACATGCCTATTCTCCATCGTTTTCCCAGTGAAATTCTGCACATTCCTTTGCACAAAATCACCATGCTGTGGAACAGATTGTGTGACGTGGGACCGCCACTGTTGTGTGGTTTCCTTTCGGAAGGACGGCAGCAAAGCATGATTGCAGAGTGCGGAATTACACAAATCCAAGTACATGCATACCGTCACGCGTGTACCGACCCGTAGTAGTAGTAGGCGTAGAGCAGCGCTGCTGGTGTAAGTACTGGGTATGTGGGTACCGTCGTCCCGGGGATCCCGACTCCGTCAAACTGAAAACACTATGATTGTCGTGTTGCTCATGGCCAGTGGCAGTGGCCACGTCACGGTTCAGCGTGCTAAACAAATTCCTGTCTGCTCTTACATGTATGTATCCACTCTTCCCACAATAGTCTTGTGCTACAGTATCAGACTTGATAAGTACATGTACATGACTGTACATGTATTACCTGTGAGTGTGAGGCTGTCTCTCATTCCTCCCCTCAGTGTTCCTCCAAAATAATTTGTCTTGGTGCACCTGGACATATACATCAGTGATGACTCCGACACCAAAATACCGGACGAAAATCTCGGATCTCACAACTCCTGCCATGCATTATCTGATGGCTTCAAAACAAACAAAAAGAGGCGCCGTCTTGTTGATCAATCCAACCAGGCCATAGACATAGACACGTCGGAAAGTAAGACTAGGCCATAGTGAAGTCCTATAGGACTTCACTCGAACTGCAGATGTCCATCAATATCAGCTAATCACGGACTGCAAGCAGCACTAGTCTGGAATATTTTTTAAATGTCGTTGTTCGATATCCACGTGTTCTGACTTTTGCATATCACGTGCTACCTGTCATTCTGACATCGGGGCTTCAACTCGCGAGTCCTGAAGAACTCCTGCTGCAGGGACCCTGATAAAGATCGCCGCGCCCGCAGACACCGCAGACCACCCGCATTCAGCCGGCACCCGCTCGGTCGAACCCAAGGAGTGTTATGTTGAATGAAAAAAACAACAAAGCTACAACCGAACTATGATCGAGTCAGACAGGCAGTGTCCGGATCTGAGCGGATAGAAATCGTGCCCAGAAAGTCTTGACTGTTGGGCACGTCGGCGCTAATCCGCAGGAGCAAGCTGAGAATCGCGTGATCGCATCACCTGGCAAGAAGTCGGGAAACTTTGGGGAGCATACGGTGCATTGTACATTAAGAGTCTCATGCTCTACCGACTGAGCTAGCCGGGCTGCATTGTCGAAGTGTGCGAGGAAAACAAATTCACGGTTCGCGTGAGACTCGGTTTCTCTATAATTATAGAGGCCGAGTTTTCCGCATCCGTAGGAACGCCACCACCCTTCAAGGATCAAGGCGCAGATGCAGCTCCTAAAGCGGTGGGAGGTGAGTAGATCAGCTCACCAGCATGTGGTCAAAGACCGAAAATCCCATTCACTGCATCCATGTTTTCCTCGTGCCAGGCCACGAGTTCCCAATTAACTGTGGGTCGCAGACTCTCAGCACGGCTGGAAAAAATCCTTCCGCTTCCAAGCAGGACTTGGACCTGGTACCCTCTGTTTCTCAATCATGGTCTTAGACCATCCCACTATGCCTGCCTGCGAGGGAGCATACGCATAATATGTTTCATTATCGCTACCAGACTGATATTATGAAGACCCCAATATAGCATCACAATACAATGCAGAAGAGAAGTACACCAAACTCTCCTCCTCCATTCGCTCTAAAGCCGATCGACCATTGCTACCCTCGGCAGCCATTACTCACACCAATAATTTCAAACAACGAACTGGTCACGGATAAAACGAATTCCTTCTGACAGCTGTTTCGCCTATCAAAGGCTCGTCAGAGAAGGGTTAGGGAAGGTGATACTGATATTGTAATAGACATGGCAAATATTTTGTTTGAAATTGTTGGTGTGAGTAATGGCTGCCGAGGGCAGCAATGGTCGGCTTTAGAGCGCATGAAGGAGGAGAGCTAGTTTGTTGTGTCAACAGTCGAATGGTACCGTTCACAGTTTTACAGAAGAGAAATGGTGGTTAAAACACACCTGGCGAAATGGTGGTAACTGCATAAACCCCCATCTATTATACATGTACATGTAATTGTACACATTGATCGGGTCCACTCTCACAACTGGTGTTATCTTCTAGCTACAACGATTGTATTTGCTGCAGTTCTACCTTGAGCTATTGCTTCCATTGCAGCTCTACTTTGAGCTAACAGCAGCTATTTTGAGCTAACTGAGCAGTTCTACTTTGAACGAAACCAGCAGCTCTACATAATACTTTGAGCTTCAACAAGTTTCGAAACCAGCACTGCTCAATCCAAAGATACCTCGAATAATTTGACCTGCGTTGTGTGAGGGAAGGGACTACTGCATTCTAGCACTCCCTGAACCGATGGTAACTGCCTGCCATGAGCATAAAAGTAACTCTGAGTAAGAAGTATAATGTACATGTAAGTTTTATGATAATTATAACCCAAAACTACAATCCATTTCAAAACTATGGACGCGTAGGGTTTTTGAAATATTTCAAATTTGGCTGGAACTTTTTGAGAATAGTTGTCGGAATATTGCTCAGGACCGCTCCACAATTACTGTCATATAGTTTCTAAACGATTGGATAACAGACGCCCAATTTGGAAAAATTTATGCACAAAGTGATCACAGATTTTATGTGGTATAGATGCTGGCATAACGGCTTTTGCCTAGGTACGCGTCTATAGTTTTGAAATGGACTGTAGTGTAGTTCAGTTTGTTTCCGAACACAGTGTCCTCCACCTTGCTTCATGCTGTCAATCTAACAACATGTAAGTTTTAGCAACCAATCTCAAGTGGGTGTGTTGTCTACACTGCAGTGCAGTATTAGTACTCTATCACATGTTATACTGTACTGCTCAAAACCTTTGTCTGAAAGAACGCGATGGTAAAACAGCAAAAGGATGCAAAGCACAGCAATGTACAAGTGTAAGTCTTGTACTTGTAGAAACAAATTCCAAATCTAAGGCTCGTGGAGAATCCATAAATACAAATACAATACAATACTGCGCTGACATTCACAGCCGGACATGTCAAGCATCTGCAGAACCAAGGACGAAATGCACGCATGCGTGGTCTGGCCTTACTCAAGTAACTACAAAAAGATAAAAATTAATGTCAACGGTGATTGGTTACCGTCGGCTGGCAGTGATCCAATAGTCAATACTGGTTTCATCATCGGAGTTGTGAACATGGGCATCTACATCGTACTATCATTTTTGTAGTCGGACCATCACTCATCATCACGTACATGTATGCCCATACTGGCCATAGCGCTGAGACTGGTGAGAGCAGAGATTACCGTCCAGTGGCATTTCCATTGTTCCACAGTCTGCCTACGTTACGTACATCTACGTCTACGGTGTGCGACTTACGGACGTTGACGGAGGACCTGCGCCAGCAGACCGTTCTAGACCGTTGTCAAACTAACGTACATTGTACTACACACTGTAACCTGCTTGTCTCCTTCGTGTACAATGTATGTGTCACCATCTCAAACTGGTATGACTTGAACATGGAAATGGACAAACCGGGCATTCTGAATACCAGCGGTCAAGGGCAAGTGAACCTTGTCCTGCCCTTCAAGTGTCACCAAACTCCAGACTACAGAGGTAATGACATGCACATGTACAGTGTACGTCATATGCATGTCATTACCAGAAAGACGAGCTAGAAAGAGAGGTTGATCCATGATTAGTGTAACAATGATGTAGTACAGAGTCAGTCACCCGTAGCCTGGGCCGTAGGTCATGTCCGACTTCAAGTCAACTAATTAATTATTCCCGTCACATCTGATCTTGACGGTGTTCAGGCTTGTTGATCTGCCCTTTCTCTGTCTTTGACATGATGGCTGACTGACGACTGTCGACCCCTTCCTTGACCCAAGCCTTGAGCAAGGTGAATAAAAGTGGACCATACACATGATACAGGGGTGATGAGCCCGCCTTTCGGCACCGGGAATACAGCTTGCTCCACTCTGTCTCTACTGAGTCAAGAGGGGCCAGAGGGCTCACACCTTGATCTAGTGAGCTGCGTCATGGGGATTTGCAGTCAGATGTGCGACCGCGGGGCTAGAACCCGCGACCTCTCGGTTCACTGGCAAGTTCAGAAATTGCAAATATCGATACCGGTGTAAGAACTTGATCTAGTGGATATTACTCTAATGGTTAATAATTTAGAAGGCATGGTTGATGTTCGGTCATGATGGAAAGAGAGGTGGAGCTATGGGAAAGATGGGCTGATTATTCGGAGTGTGAGGTTGACATGTTGGCAATGAAAAAATCGATTACAAAAGAAGTCAACTAAGCTTTGGGACCAGGCCGAACCTACATCATGTACATTCTACAATGTACATGATGTACAATGTAGAAGGCGCTGACAAGTTAGCTAGTAAGTAATACATGTAGTTGTTCACTCCAATTCCGAAGGCAGCTCACAACACGTGCCACATACTTACAGTATGCCACCTTGGTCTTTTTTCTCTAGCCCCCATGCCATGGCCCAGGGGACCAACCACGGTCAGTTTCTGGAACGTACTACACTACTACAGTACTGTACTCAGTCATGTGACTAGATGCATGAAGGCCATGCATGCTTTCCAATAATTATCATTCCCATCATCATGATCCACTTACATGATCTAGCATTCCATTCCTCCTTCCCACTTTAGCCCGTATATGTATCTAGTAGATTGCATGTGTTCTAGGTTCTTTGTCTTATGGTAGTACAACAGTTAGAACTAATGTCTTGGCTCTCTGGTTGGTCTGGTTAGACTAAAGTACGAAACACTACATGGTGGCAGCGGTCCAAAAGCCATGTCTTCTTCGGACCCCAGCTCGGTTCAGCCCGCTTCCCGCGGATCTTCCCCCGCCGGTGGCGGAGGCAGCAATGGTGGTTCAGGTAGCTCCTCCGGTGGAGCGCCTTCTACGTCTTCTTCGGCGCCCGAGCCCGCCCAGGTTTCTCTTCCGGGGATGGTTCACCTCTCACAGGTGTCCCCTCCATCATCGTTCAATTTCCAGGCTGCAGATTAGTGGGACCGCTGGCTGCGTCGACAGTACAATGTACCAGAGCTAGCTAGAGTAGAGGTGAAAGAAAGTGATGTAGAAAAAATGCCATTCCCATTTCAATAACCGACGAGGAGACAACAGTCGGAAAAACTCATAGCAATGAAAAATATCAATTGTGCACTCATAGACATGTTTAAAACAATTAAAATGAAACAATTCCAGAACGTTTTCTCGTGACTATCATCAGTGGAACATCATCACATAGTAAGAATCACTAAAACAACCAGTTACTTCAGTATATAATATGAAAAGAAGCGTGAGTCTCACGCTTCTTTTCATATTATTCTAGCTATATTATGAGTGCACAATTGATATTTTTCATTGCTATTCCCATTTCAATTATTAGAATTAAAATGGGAATAAAGCAACATTCCACACAACTTGTCTGGCTCAAAGATTCCAAGATCAATAAGGGGGGGGGGGGGGTTATTGAAATGGCAATGTTCTCTTTTCAGGCAGTTCACTTCCCCTGACTGCTAACCTTGAGTTTGAAGTTTATCCTATTGTCCATTTCAGCATAATACATGTACATGTAAGCCCTCTTGATTTTAAGACTATGAGTGTGTCGATGCCAAATCTAAAGCAAGGAAAAAATCATAAAAAAATCATGCACTGCATCAGTGGGAGCGAAGAGATACATGTACATGTAGATTGAGACTAGTAGAGTCTTCAGTAGAGTCTTCAGTAGAGACGTTGCCAACATACTGGAAACAAACAGAGCCAACTGCCAAGCTACATTGTACATGATTGTACAATGTTGTTGTTGTTGTAGAAGTTTATTTAACGTCGCACCACAATAAACTTCTACAACAATGTACCTGTACTTGTAGCTACAGTATCTATTCAGACTTCTACAGTCAATGTTACTTCGCTTATAACGACTGCGGATAAAATTAATGTACATGTACATGTAACGACAATTCGAGAATAAGGACAGAATCTCCATGCCCAGAGCGAGACTTCGGGTATAAGGACACTTCGCAAATAAGGACACTTTCCTGATGCCCCGCCGAGTGTCGTTATACAGTCAAATCTGCCGTTAGCGACCTCTGCTGTAGGCGACCATCTACCGTTAGCGACCGATTTTCCGTGCACCGACGGTTTCACATACAAACTGATCTGTCCAGAGCGACCATCTGCTGTGCGCGACCAGCGACCGCGATTTCATGCACGGCGGCTGCATTCAAATCTGCTGTAAGCGACCGCGACCCAGGTTCAGTAAGGTGCGAAACTGTACTTGCCAGTGCGCTGTCAACTGCAAAGTGTGAAAATGCGCTGTCTTGCAAGTGCGATCGACTGGTGCCTGGCCTGTACCATGTGTACTGAGGCTGTGCTGTAGCTCTCGAGTCCAGGCAGTGTCGATCTACTGCCGTGTCGCATACGCGTACTATACGGGTATGGTCGTCGTTGAATATCCAAAAAAATGATATAAAAAATCACATTATTCTCGTCGATTTGAGTACATGGAAGCATATACCTGGTATGCCGGATTTACCATACATCTGCCGTAAGAGACCATCTGCCGTAAGCGACCACTTTTTCTTGCACCACGGGGCGGTCGCTTACGACAGATTTGACTGTACTATAGTAAAGTTGCCTGTACGTACGTGTACATACAATGTACATGACTGTAGTCATTGTACACTGTATCAATGTTTGTGGTGTAGTACTTGGAAAGTTGGACGTCACTTGTCAGTGTCCACTCCGAGAGAGTAGTCATCACTGTCATACGTAAGATACATGTTGTATGTGTAGCCTAGTCATCGTATGACCATGTATTTCAAAGCCCCACACCAGTGAATGGCAAGAAGGACGAGGGTCCTGTCAAGGGACTACTAGTACTACCGACTAGGTAGAGACAAAAGAGAAATCAAAGAGGAGTCAAGATGGAAAAGGAAAGATTATAATTATGCAAGTAATTAGTTATACTCATACTCGAGCATGCATACTCATAGTCAGGGAGTAGTAAAATACGTATTTTACTACTCCCTGCTCATAGTCATACATGACGTACATGTACATGTACGTCATGTATGACTATGACTATTATAACTATTATATTACTTGCATAATTATAATCTTTCCTTTTCCATCTTGACTCCTCTTTGATTATACAGTACATTGTACTGTATAATAATAATAATAATAATAATAATAACTTTATTAGGATGACCCAAAGGCTGACCGCCTATCGTGGGGTCCGTCGCATTGAAGGATGATGGTACAAGAGAGTACAGATTGGGAGGGGGGGGGGGGGGGAGGACTACGATGAACAGGGTAACGCCTAACGGCATGCCAGCGAGTAGACATGAATACTGACAAGAATGTTTGCGCAGTGCAGTATGAATATGTAGCCTGTGAGACGACTGTCCGTCTGACTACTAGTACTAGTAGTCGACTGTGAGTGTGACTATGGCCTAGGCCTGCCAGTGCCAGGCCGGGAGGTACTAGGTGTTGCCTGGGCGGCTGGGCCGTGCGCCGCGGCGTGCGGGTGCCTTCGCGATTCGCTATGACAGTATGAGTCACTGTAGGGTACTACTACTAGTACTACTATTATAATACTAGAACAAGGAGCCGTACAAACACGACTCCATAGACCATACATGATGACTCTACTGCACTGGGCGGCGCGGCAGATCTGCAGATCATAATAATAATCTGCTGCATGCTGATTATTATCAGCAGAGTCGCTAGTTATTTTGTAATCAGTGCATCATGCATTATGCATGAGCTAAACATGTAGCTAGCTTTGTGCACGCACCGACGACGTGTTGGTTTATGGATGTGCACGTGCACTCGATCGTAGCTACTGTATACATGGTATTGTATACATGACTTACTGTGCTGAGCTTGAGCTGAGCTAGCTCGTCGATCACAAGCGATGTGTCTAGAGCTAGCTGTAGGCTGCACCTGGCCTATGCAGTGTGGTCTAAAAACATGATCTGCATTTACATTGTACTGATGTAGTAGTACTAGCTAGTACTAGTATCCGGTCCAGGTCTACTCCCCACTGCATGCACTGCAGTACCACACTCAACACTACAGCAGTACAGGCAGTAGATCTACACTGCCAGCACTGGCAGTAGGCCCAGCACTCACATGTGCACAGTAGATCTACTGGTTTTTCTACCCAGCTGGCCTACCCCCGTGCCTTGCTCGCATCGCGGCGGCACGATGCTGTGCGGTCATGACGGATTCGCACCAACAGAAAAAAATGTGCTGTCGTCGACTTGCTGCAGGTCAGTTCGGTCGATCGGTGGCTCTGAAAAATTAAAAAATATTTTTCCAGAGCTCCGTCCTGTCGCTCTCTCCGCATCTGGGCACCATCCCAGAGCCATCCAAGGAGAGAAGACTGTGCTAGGGACCGGGTTCAGTGCAGTCGGCAAGAGCGGAACACGTCCAGGCTCCGACATTATCACCTACACTCGCTACCTGGTCGTGCTACATAGATCGCAGGCGGGCGTGGGGCAGTGGTCACTGACGGGACATGGAGAAAATCTCGTCCTGCTCCAAATCAATCTGTTTGCGCCGGAATCTGCTCGGTTCGTTGCGAAGCATTGGCTCACTGACCTCCTCTTCGTCGCCCAGCACAGTATTGCCTTCGACAAGGAGCGGAGAAACTGGCTCAAGTGCAAGCCCTCCGACGAGTCCCAACTGCTTTCGTGCTCGCCACACGCACAGCGCGGCGGCCTCAGCTGATGCGTCAAGCTATGCACGTCTGGCGCGACGACGTTTGAGTCCATCGTTCGTCCGCTCGTACTCCTACGATGGCATCGGCTCGCACGGCGAACCCCTGCTGGCATCAGTGGACACCCTGCACGACCTCAAAACATTCCTCACCAAGGTAGGCTGCTCCGATCGGGCACTAGCAGTAATAGTGGTAGTCCTAAATTTCAGAAAACGACACAGATGTTTGTATAACGAGTATGTATGAGATGTGTCGCTTTGCTGTGAGAATTTCATGTCGTCTAGCTAGTTACTTCGTAGATCTACGCATTGCGTTCGATTGCACTTTCAAACCACATTTCTGACGTTGGACCTACTCTACAGCGTTTCGCGAACTAAAATTCACTATTTTTGTCCCGCACATGTGGATATTGTGTACTGATCGGAGTAAAATGTTCCATCGCGCACACACCCACACGTCAGCCGTGTACATCAACAAGTGCCACGCTTGTTCCGGCTTTGCAATAGTTGGCGAATGTTGGTCTGCGTGTTACGCAAACAGGTGTCGGATGTGTCGTGCTGTTGCGTAAAAAGTATCAGTGATCAGCGGTATTTCGCAATACCTACTGGTGCTGGGGACATACGGCCATACATAGACTGAATGTCCCTCTATACCCCACTACAGCCACTACAGCCAGTTCCTGTATTTATGCATAGACAGCAACTGATACGTCATGTACATGTACATGATTGTGGGGGATGTAAACACATGTGCCCTGGGCCAAGAAAAAAACTGAGTGTGTTGCATGCATTCTTGTATGCGTCCGTTGCATGTAACCTGTTCTAGATTTCCGGAAAGCAACTGTAAACGGAATAGCACAATCATGCAGATTTGGGTTGATGCCCTGCATGGGTGTACTAGCAGGGACCCCCCCCCCCCCCCCCGCCAGCTTGTTGGTCCGCAAATAGGTGTGTGTATGCAAGGGTGGGAGTGTACATCTATAATTATGTAACATATGCACACGTGAATGCTCTCTCTCTCTCTCTCTATCTCTCTCTCTCTCTCTCTCTCTCTCTCTCTCTCTCTCTCTCTCTCTCTCTCTCTCTCTCTCT